GGCGGCGGTGTCCGCTCACAAAGCTCCAGAAGCGGCGGTGTCCGCTCACATATCTCTCGAGGCGGCGGTGTCCACTCACAGTTCTCCCAAGGCAGCAGTGTCCGCTCACAAAGCTCCAGAAGTGGCGGTGTCCGCTCACATATCTCTCGAGGCAGCGGTGTCCGCTCACAGTTCCCCCGAGGTGGCGTTGTCTGCTCACAAAGGTCCAGAAGCAGCGGTGTCCGCTCACAGTTCCCCCGAGGAGGCCGTGTCCGCTCACAAAGCTCCAGAAGCGACGGTGTCTGCTCACATATACATAATACAAATGATGCATTAGGACTTTCGTTTACTGACCTAATAAACTCTTTTGGAGTCAAGCAAAACGTCACCGGGCCCACTCATCGTTTTAATCATACGCTAGATTTATTATATCGCATGGAATTGATCTTACTGATATAGATATCGTACCTCAAAGCGATGATGTTACTGACAATTTCCTTGTATCGTGCATGCTGCGTATTACTAATATTAACTATATGGCTCTGCGTTAGTTAAAAGCGCTATATAAATAAAGGTGACTTGACTTGACTTGACATATCTCTCGAGGCGGTGGTGTCCACTCACAGTTCCTCCGAGGCGGCGGGGCTTGGTTCTGGCCTTCCCAAAGCGGCAGTGCTTGCCTCTGGGGCTCCCGAAGCGGCGGAGCCCGCCATTGCCCATTCCACACACACCGCTGTGGTGGACGCTGGTTCTGCCCTGGGTCCCCATCCCGCCAGCTCTGCCTCAGTCCCCAGGTCCCCCTCCAGCACACGGCTAAATGCAGAGCACTAATTCCTAGTATGGGTTACCATACTTGGCCATATGTCACGTCACTTTTTTTTATTTATTTTTTTTACTATTTTCATGGACTATTTATACACCACACTCCCACCACTCTGCCTGGCTGAATTGTAATTGTAGTAGTTTGAATGTTGGTTGATGCAAGCACGTTGGTTACCGAATTTGTATCCCTCACCTGATCCTGTTTTGTTGATCTGAGCTCTGACAGTGTGTGAGAGCATCTATGTGTAGCCATTCAATCACATTTGAACAGAGTGGACAGTGAAATTGCTGTAAATACAGAGTGATAAGGAAGAAAAAAAATCAAACCTGCTTTAAAACCCAGCAACACAACTGTAGCTGTACAACTTTTACAACAGCAACACTGCTTTAACAAAAAATCCAAACAGGAAGACTTATTTGACATCAAAACAAATTAAAAAAAAAATGCTGTCTAATCGCTCTCACGGTACTTTGATGTCACAAACAGAATGGTCTGTGCAGTGCTGCTTCAAGTCCAACACCTATTGTGTTTTATTAGGAGATGCACAACAGTTTT